CATGGTGAGTTATTTCCTTACATTGAAAAAAAATTATAAGTAACTGCTCTGATATATTGCAGATGTTCATGGATAGTAGAGCTGACAGTGTAAGAATAACTCTGTATTTTGTGGCTTATCCAATGTTCATATTACTGTATAATACATCATTTGTCTATGTTCTTAAGGATAAGTGGCATAAGAGAAACCTTTTTTATATTGTGCCTTTTAAAAATGGTAAATCATTTTTAAAAACAGAAAACCTGTTCAGGCTATTCAATAATTAAACATTTTGATAGTCTATAATTCATATTTGATTTGTGATGACTCCAAATTGGCAACAAACACCTAACTTGCTACTTTCATATTTATACTTAAAGGGGCTATAGAGGCACACTAAAATTAACCTTGATTTTGCCATAGACACAAATACTTGATTAAGAAACTTAATCACAAGACCAATCAAAATTTCTAAATCTAAATGGAGGGTTCCTGGCCAAGGGTGAGAAACATATAGACCAAATTAGTTGTCAAGGATCAGAAAATACTCCTAAGTTGAAGTTACTGTAATTAAGTGATTTTGCCAAGGTAGATTCAGATGTAAAACTAAACCTGACATACTATTGTCATCACCATGTCAATCACAGTTCCCAGAGATGGATATCTGTGGGCTCTCTCTCATCCTGTGAGGAGATCCACGGTATAGGTTAGAGGAGAGTGTGGCTGTACAGTCACTAATCAAGAACTTCAGAGACCAAGCAGAAGGAAGGTCTGATTTTATTGCACAATTACCATGTATATAAACTCAGGCAGTAGCTAAGCAGACCACAAGTAGCCACCAATACAATTTCTGGCCAACTGTCCTTGCAGCAACCAATCAAGGAGCGGCCTTGGAGTAAGTGCAGGTACTGCAACATGTGGACTCATGCCTAGGGCTGTGCCTATGGGGTGAATGATATGCCACTCACATGCCTAGCACAGGGGAGTTCTTTGCCCCTCAGACACCCTTAAGATATGCTAGGTATTCAGTACTTCATGCACTTGTCTCCACAGATTTCCAAGTTCATGATTGTTTTTAACAAAAAAGCTGGTGTTTATCTGTTTTTCACCACAATGAAAGTTAGCTTGATACTTTAAAAATAAGGATAAGATGTTTACTCAATCATCTTAGAAACATTCAGGGTGCTAGAACATTGCACACTTAGAATCTATTCAAAAGCCTGTGGACAGCAGTCATACACCCATACAGCACAGTTTCCAGTCTTAGTTGCATTTAAAAGGGGAGGAGTCTCTTCAGAGGCACCCATATCCTAGGTGAAGGGACCCTTCCTCTCAACATCAGGACCACTCCTGCTATCCCTGCTAGACAGCAGGCTCCAAAAACAGGAGAGGCCAAGGAGACAACTGGGA